TGTGTTTCTCTTCTGATATTAGCCTTCTTGAATGACTGAAAAAAGGTAATCAGATGTGAGAATTATTATTTTTATTTCTCATTCCCCTTATTTTCTACATTTACAGATTGTTTTGTTTTGTATCTTTAACTTTAATACATCAATATTAATTGATGTTGAATCATTAGCTAGTAAAGTCAAAACTTGCTACTCTTTTTTTAATAGAGTATTTCATATAATTATGTCTCACATGGTTTTTCTCAGTGTTTATTCTAACTGCACAATTTTATTCAAGTTCTATTTGATGATGTATCTTAACATCTAAGTCTCTCTCAGTATTGTAAGTCACTCACAAATTAATACCTCACCCCTTTGTCTTAATAATAAAAATCAGTACTTCCACCAGAAAAACTTTTCAGTTCCTTCCAACAACTCTATACGGTAGATACATCTGCTTATTTTAGAGGCACTGAGGTTCAACAAAGTGAACTGACATTTCAAAGTTGAATAAAGCTGCTGTTTGCTTATTCTGGAGGTTGAGAATGGGGCTGAGGGTTTAGAAAGGATTAAAATAGTCATATTTTTAGTAAATCTTTAAATTCATTTATGTTTCTGTTAAAGGGGGTTCTAGAAACTCTCTTTTAAATGAGTATTGAGTTGATCTTCTGAAAAAGATTTTCTTATCCTTTCCCCATATCGAGACTTGGCTTGTAAGTCTTACCCTCAGAAGGAGCCATTGTTTTCCCCACTACTTTCTCTTTTTTTTAAATTGAAGTGTAGTCAATTTACAATGTTGTGTTAGTTTCTAGTGTGCTGCACAGTGATTCAGTTATACATAAACATACTCTTTTTTCATTATAGGTTATTACAATATATTGAATATAGTTCCCTGTGCTATATAGTAGGATCTTGTTGTTTATCTATTTTATAACTAGTAGTTAGTATCTGCAAATCCCAAACTCCCAATTTATCCTTCCCCGGTCCCCTTTCTTCCCGGTTACCATAAATTTGTTTTCTATGTCTGTGAGTCTGCTTCTGTTTTATAAATAACTTCATTCTTGTCATTTTTTTAGATTCCACATATAAGTGACATCCTAGGATCCCCATTATTTTCTGATTGTAGTTTGCTGCTGGTATGTCCTCATATTTTGAGAGAACCCACTGACCTTATCAGGACACCTTATCAGGAAAAGTACTCTCAGGATACTTGCCCAATTTAACTCTTGTTTTATCAAATGGAAAGAAAGTGTTTTTTTTTTTTTTAAAGTTGGGTAAACATACAATGCTTTTTTAAGAGGAAAAAAAATTCACGTTCTGTGGGAGTACTTATTAATCAATTTGAAAGTCAGTCTAATTTGCCAAAGGTTTCTGCTAAGAAAATTCTCTCTGCTGCAGGTGCCCAGAAAAGCTAGAGATCATTCACTTGGGACTCACTTTGAAGATCTGTCTATCTGTCTCTTACCATGAATATCCATGAAGAACCCTTGAGATAGGAGGTTCATTGGCATTTCTCTTGGATGCCTAAGGACATGCTTTAAAAATACATATCTGCACCATCATTTCTCAGAATCCCCAGTGTGAGAGGGATGTTTTTACATCTGTGCTAGCCACCTCCTCTGACCCCTACTATACCTGGTTTTCTCTAATCTTAGCAAAGTCTTGTACTACTAAACAGGCACATAGCACCAATGTCCTACAACCAAGACCAACATAAAAGAAGCAGGAAAAGTCTCAGGTTCAGAGGCTAACATTTGATGCCTTTTAACTCAGTGTTCAAAAGTAGCGTTACTTACAGCCCTAACCTATGGGCACAGTAATTCATTAGCTGTTACATGAAATGATATTTCAGAATTTCCCAGGTCTTCAGCTGTAGTTAATTCTGAGTTGGGCAACTTCACTGCACTGAGTTTAGTCTAAGACATCTTGCTACTACCAGATCATTTCCTAGCTATTCCCTTCTGTTTCTGATCATGAAAAAGGGAAAAAAAACTGTACAGTGTTTTCCAAACTTACATGATCACGGAGCGTGTGTTCAGCTCGGTCACAGAGGCAACAATGCTTTAAGACTGAAGGTGAAGGAACCGCAATTAACAAGGAGAAACGTGCCTGAGTTTAAAGGCTGGGAAGTACCTGGTGCTAGCTTCTCCTCTTCTTGAGCTTATTTTTAATATAGCTTGTGAACGTCTAGTTCACCTATTCTCAGAAGTTTTGGAACTTTACAACCAAGCCATGATACCCATGGAGTGACCAGCTGCCATATAAACATCATTTGTACGGGTATTTAAGATCTGTATGTTTCTGGGCACCAATTGTATCAAGGGGAAGCTTTACAATAAGATGAAAAATGGGTTCCTAATTACTTTTATTGTTAAATTCCCAAATCGTTAACCTGTATGCTATCCAGTTTATACATAAATCAAACCACTGAGTCATGTAGATATTAATCTATCCTGATTCTTGTTGAAATAATTTAAACATATCTGTGAGTTAAAGCTTAATGCTAATTAACAGGTTCTAACGAAGGTAGAAGAGATTAGCTTTAAATGATTAAATCTGATATTAAACATGGAAACAAGATCTGAATTAACTATGTGCTATGATCAAGAACAACTGTTGTTGTTTAAGTACTGATGACCTTTGAACTTACATGATGAAGTAGTTCCTTTCCCTAACATGGAGTTTGTCACCCTAGACAAATTCTCCACTGGTGCCATAAGAATCCATGAGTAAGAAAAATCCAAACCATCTGAATATTAAATTGAACACATAAAAGGAGAAAAAAGTCATCCATTCATCACTGCCAAGTTCCTAGCCTTATTTCAAAGATCAGAGATAAAATCAACCAGTAAAATCTGATCCACAGAATTTCTATGACTCTCAAGTGGTTAACTTTCTTTGAGAATTACATGCGTGAAATATATATATAAGTATTTTATATATATTTACTATATATATATGTAGTAGATCAAAATAAACATCCATAATATCTAAAACTGGCATAATAACTCCTTTTGGACAGCTAGTACAAAGAATAAGTTGCTTTATAAAAATGACATGGAAAATGATAAAATATTGCTTATTTTTATAATCTTTGACAAGAAGTGAAAATACCATTTTCTGAAACCCAGGTAGAGGACTCATTTTTCTCACCTGCCAGAAGAAAAAGCATCTTTCACAAAATTGAGCACCTGCCTATGGAATTCAGAATCTGTATTTACATGGATTTAAGGACCTGAGGCAAACTGTTGGAACAGCATGGAAACTCCCTAGACAAGATCTGGGTGGGGGATTAATCAAGCCTGAGCCACAGACCTGCTACTTGTGTTGTACTTATGTCACAACAACTTCCCTATAGCTCAGTGGGTCTCAAACTTCAGCTTGTATGAGATTCACCGGAAGGTGGGTCACACAAACACAGTCTGGTGGCCTCACTCCTAGAGGTTCTGATTCAGTAGGTCTGCGGTGGGGATCGAGAATTTGCATGTCTAACTCGTTCCCAGGGGATCTGATGCCAGGAACTACACTCAGGACTACTGCTCTGGCTTAAATTCTGTAAGAAAGAATACTCTTTTTACATAAGAGTACTTCTATATTTAGGCTTCTGTACCTTGGGAGAAATGAATATATTGAGAAGCAATTTAGACCATTTGCTAAAAAATGTGGCCACCACTTGGAAACCACACAGGCCACCTCTAAAGTCTGCTGGTGGGGTGGGGGGCTGTCCTCTCACAGGGCTCTGGTAATCTCACTCATGACTTCCATGCTGTTATTTTCAACTGCACTACAAAGATGAGTTTTGTTTTATTGAACAGCTTGTGAGTTGGCTTTGCAACATGTTAAGAAAGTGCTCTTCTGTTTGCAGGGAAGCTGGGAGCCAAGGAATCATGTGGCGGCCTATCTTAGAACCACACATAGAAGGGGTGAGAGAAGGAGGCTGGTGTTGGATCAGGGCACGGGCTGTAATTCTCTGCAGTCGGCCTTGACTGATTCAAATTCTAACTTGGATACTTTCCAGTCAAAGGATTATGAAGGGAGGGAGAGAAATAGACACATTTACACTTTCCACTCTTGCACTGTGTCTGATTCACTGACTTGGAGGTGATGCAACAGAAATGGTAGACGTGGTGAAAGGAATAACAGATTCATTTCATTGTCTGGGAGCAATGGTTGGTGAGGATCAGCACAAGAATCTGAGGGTCTAGAACCCAAGAACCATAGCTTTTCTATAGTAACTGAAAGAGCAAGGAGGGAGCACAAGAATGAATTCTAGATTTTATTTATAATAACTAACCTTTATATGTGCTCACTAGATGACATTTTACAGAGAAAGAGACTGATGTTCTATATTATTATCAAGTTTTGTACCTTTAGAAGAAAAATCAGTTGTGCACCAATCAGATGCCTCAAAGTAACTACTACATTAAAAAATCCACCCTGAACTTACACTCTAATTGGAAACGTTTTGACTGCTACCATTTTTAAGGACAACATGTATCCAAGAGGCCTAGCCTCCCTTTCTCCTGCTTCTGTCTGCACAATATCACAGCCAAAGACCTGTCAACTCAAAAGAAATATTTCCCCAAGAAACACAAAACCATGTGAAGAAAAAGCAGAAAAACTAGAATAAATTTCGAAAGGTTCCATCTCAGATGAAAACTGAATCCTCAAACCACACAAAAAAATTATAAAGCCCTTCCCATTCTGAGCTATTTCTTAGATTTCTTTACTTTGTCCATTTTCTTTAGTTGACTCTTTAGAGAAACTATGTGGGTATACACACACACACACACACCACTACCACCACATTTGAGAGTTGTCAATTAGAAGCTATAAGCAGAAAAATGAGAGATAATTCTTAAATAATGTTTGACCAAACCTTTAGCAAATTGGATCATGAAATGGGAAGGAGGCAACACCTACTTCATGTCAGTCTGCTTAACTGCACACTTCATCAGTCTCCCAACACCACAATGGGCTTCTCTTTCAGAATTAAGCAATTGTATAAAAGAAAACTTTCTTACCCTCATTCTTCCATTCCTTATTGCTGGCCCATCTTCTGCCAGTCTCAACACGTACAAATCCATTTTGTATTCCCTTCCTCCCCGAATGCTGAATCCAAATCCTTTGGCTCCTTTCTCCATGTCCACAGTGAAATAATCAAAATCCTTTGGGGTTGGAGAGAAACAATGGAATACACAATTGTTTAGTATCAGAGAAGTTTCTGTGGCCAGTCCCTTTGTGCTTCTTCTCTCATAGTGAACATGTTCCAGCTGACGTGATGCTATGAGAAGGACTAAGCTGACTTCACCATCTAGCAAAATGCAAGACAAGATTCAAATGGTTTGAGCAGATCAGAACAATTTCCTGGGTCATTATAAGAACTGCAGTAGCTTATTTACATTGGAATCCATCAGTTTACTTGACAAACATGTAATAATTGCATATAGGCCTGAGTGATATTCTTTCTCCTTTGAGTTTTCTCACTCACTGCTGTTGAGCACCATAAATAAATGTACCAGAGCTGTGTGTGTGTGTGTGTGTGTACTACAGGTGCACTGATTAGAAAATGAAATACACGTGATGGGATCTGCAGTACCTGGGGCTGCCTGTAGTCTGACAGAGGGAACTGCCTGGTGTCGGGGGAGTGCTGCCTGTAGTCCAGCAGGGGAGGCTGCCTGTAGTCCAAGGACGGGGGTTGCGGGTAGTCCCCTCCTGGGGGCTGCCTGTAGTCCAGTGGGGGCTGCCTGTAGTCCGTGAACGGAGGCTGTCGGATGTCTGGTTTCACATCTTGCCTTGCTTTTACTTCTGACCTGTAACTAAATGAATGGAAATGGGATTTGCTCTGGTATCAGCCTTCTAAGGAGAACAGAATGATCGCAGGACCCCTAGGCACATGTGGACCACACCACTTGGTGGTCCTTTGGCATGCTCAGGATTATGAGAACACTGAATAAGTGACAAGTTATTATTTTTAAATCTTTGACAAATGCCACACTGTATACTTTTCACCTGGGTCCTTAGGAAATCAAGGTAAAATTGATGGTCAACCAGAATTTTGTGGAAAAGGACTTACAGATAACCCTCTTTGATCAGGCTATTTAAAAACTGTGCAACTGTAGCAAATCAAGGGACTTACACACTTAACTACACATCCCCAAATAACAATCAGTAAACTGACTTGCTTAACTTCTCTCTCCCTATTTCTCTCTCTCTCACACACACACACACAAACACACACACATCATTCACTACTTCATGAAAACATGATTGAAGTGATCTTTAAATATCCTACAAATATCTAATTAAAGGCTATTTTAACCTGCTAGCTTGAGGCTTTTTTAATATCTTACAGAGGTTAAAGGAGCGATGATAAGGTATAATCACCAACTACAAATCAAGCAGAAGGGCACTGGTCAGTGCTAAGGTACAAATGTAATACACAGAGGTTTCAATAATAGACTAACTCTCAGGATTAGTATCAGATACTATCATGTCATAAGATAGAAGGGAAGGCAAAAATGTTTAACATTTGTCTTGTTCTTTTTCTTAACTTTTTTTATTGATTTATAATCATTTTACAATGTTGTGTCAAATTCCAGTGTAGAGCACAATTTTTCAGTTATACATGAACATATATATATTCATTGTCACATTTCTTTTCTCTGTGAGCTACCATAAGATCTTGTATATATTTCCCTGTGCTATACAGTATGATCTTATCTATTCTACAATTTTGAAACATTTGTCTTGTTCTTATTTCTAGCTACTAATAAAATACATGCAGGGTCCAGAACTAGTTGTTTAGTTTTCTTAATCCAAATTGCTCTAAGTTGAGGGGTTCACAGGTCCAAAAAAGGGCTAACGTACCTAATACCTACCATTATGGGATCATTAATAAGATAAACTAAAAAAAATTACCATAGTATAGAGACCACCTCTTAACTCTATAGTTCATTGCCTATTGCCATGACAACAGTCTACACAGTGAGCCTCTCAGGGATGTAGGTCGATTAAAAAATACATTCTATATAATAATACTTTTATCTGAAGTTACTATGGAGGATTTAAGCAATTGGGAAAATATTTAGCAACAAGGAAAAACTCAAACGTGTCAGGAAAATATGTTCAAAATCAGTAGAATTTTTACTTCTTACCATTTAAAACTGGATTTTTTTTTTACTGGCTTATGACCTGATTAGTATTAAATATTTTAAAAAATTACTCACCTGAACAATTGCCACTAGTTTAATATTTGGTGAGGACACACTGATAGTGTATGGCAATAGATGTTATTTATTTGGGGTTTTGGAAAAGGGTTAGTAATGCAGTTATTTTAATAATGCTTTGAGTAGTTCTCATCTGTTACTTAACTTGCAGAAGTAACACATTCCTTTTGTGAGGTGCATAATTTAGGCTTTGCTTTATACATCAGCAAGTTGTCCACTCACCTACTGAGAGTGTGCATGCTGAGAACATGATTATTTAAAATCCACTTTGAATGAGATGCTTAACTATGCAAATACATGAATTAAACAAAAGGAACTGGACTGGGTGACATTGGTTGGCATGTATCTGTTCCTTTCTAGAAATCATTTGCTTGGTGGGTTAGATGTCATTGTTTTAAGTTATATCACAGTCACTTTATTTTCATTATCTGTGTAATATTGGTATGAAATATCCATTATGTGCTTTGTTTCCAACCAGTCACAAAGTACAGCAAAAGTGGGTGAAATGTTAAGAGTCTCCCCAGAGCCTAAAAACAGGGACAATTAGAACTTGTAACAGCTGCCACCCAAGCCTGCCTTTCAACACTCAAACTTCATTCGACACCAGTGCCAAGTGTCAGGCTTTTACGTTGAAGTGCACATTGAAGAATTCTTAATAAGTAAAATATACTTAATTTGTATGAGTGTTGCTAACTTTTAAGTGAATGATCCACTAGTTAGGGAAAAAGTCATTATGCTGAGTTTACGAAACATTTTAAGGAAGACTCAAGATTATTTTTAAAAAGTCTCTTAAAAGCTCCTTTACTTATGAAAGGGTAAGTAACCCTTTGTAGATTGTATGTCAGTATAACCCTTTGTAGTTATTAATTCCATTATTAAAGAGACTTTAGAGATGATAAAACCAGATTGCTAATGGTAAATTCTAGCAGAATTTTACGGTACAAATTCCAGAACTAAGAAATATCACCCATGTAATAGGGGATCTTATGGTGAGATTTTGCCCCATGTGGGCCTTTCAAGAATTATTTCCTGCCTTCAGCATCTAGTGTACAAAGTCTGTGAAAGAAGTCAATTTCCAATGCTTTCTACTAACCTTGCTACTTAAAACATGTCAAATATTGATTGCCCTTGCTGGGGAAGATGAAATCTGCTATTTATACTTAGTTTTTGAATATTTTACATAATGGCTCTTTTGTTGTTTTCAAAAAATGCTTCTCCTTGAATAGTGTTTTGCTTATGTTCATATTAAAAATATTTTGTTTCCTGAGCACACACCAAAAGGATGTTAAGGGACAGAGAAATGAGTAGAGGTGTGCAGCGTGTCAGGAGAAAGCCAATCCAAGAGTAAACAAGACAGGAGAAAACAGTCACTCGTTCTAACTCATAAGATAAAAATTTCCAAGCAGATTGTCATTTTACTTTATCCCACTTTAACTTGGAAACTGGCTCAATTTGACATGTAGGTGGGCACTTCTTGTACAAAGGAACTAATAGGAAATTCATACTGTGTGCTTGGCATACAAGCTGTCTTGGAGACATCTGTAGCCTGATCTAGAAAAAGGCAAAGAATTTCTCAATCTAATACCACGATCATCCTTAAATACAGCTAGAAAAATTGTTCTGGTATCTGTAAGATCATGGAATCTCTTCATTCATATGGAAAGAGCCAGTCACTAACAATCAAAGTTAAGCCAGGAAACCTGAGCTCCAGGAAAGGGCCCTAGAATTGGGGTAGGCACTTCCTAGGCTTTTAATATTACTGAAGCAAAAACAGCTAAGAACTCTGGGCAAATTCGGATCACGTCAACCTGTTAATCCCAGAGTTAGGAAATATTTTATTCTGTAGTCACACAAAAAAAGTATCCATAGGCTGTTGCTTCTGTGATAGGGGCAGAGTCCCAGATGTTACTAGAACCCGACGGGGACAGGATAGTGGAATCGCTTAAGTGTTATTATCCCCCACTAACCTATGACACACTGGGGATGAGATTACCTACCCCCAGGCCAGGGGCAAGAGTCCAATTCCAGGAAAGTCTGACTCTGGAGAGGGAAGACAGAATTGTGGCTGGGAGGTAAACTGACAGTGGCAGAGCCAAGAAGAAGAGTTGGAAGCTGGTGCAGGGATTGCTGGAGCACTCAGGTCCTTCCTCCTAAGCCTAAGATGAATCCTGGGGAAAGCAGTGCCATCTGTCCAAGCAACACACGGTCCCAAAGCAAATGCATCTGGGGCTTATTACAGAGACGTCCAGGATTTACTTCTCTAACAGACTGTCAAATTCTTGCCTCTGTATCATTTACCTTATGGGGGTTAGTCTTTCTTCTTCCCTGGAATATATTAAAACCATAAACAGCTGGAGACAACAGGCATTTACTTTTCTATGAAAGCAAATGGAGGAAATGAGAATAGAACAGGGTGGGAAGGACTCTTGTGGCACAGGGGAAATATTTGCTTTGCAATCGTGTGAGTGATGAACCTGGATGATTCTGGGACTCAAAAACTGGGTCTCACTTCCTCTTCACCAATCCAGGAGGCAGGATATGGGTAACAGATGTTCAGAAAACATTAGAATCATGGAAAGGACCAGTGAGGGTTTTGTTTTCAGAGATGTTCCCGAGGGTTGTTCTATTTCTCTCCTTCGAAAGGTCAAAAACAACGTGGGAACATGTCTTCATCTCTTTCTTTAATGGCTCAGCCTAGCCCAGGCTCCCTGTCAGATACAAGTCCCAGTAAGACAGTATTGCTTTACTATGGCTACAGCATCCTTTTCTTCCGGAAGTTCAAAGTGCCTATTCCCAAGAGTTCACGATGCAGAACGGAAGAAACTCATTAGACTGTGGGTAGGTGGATATAAGGTAAAATGCAGTGAAAACACTAATATATATTAATGCTCACAAATCCTTCAACATTTCACCCTCTCCACACACCATCATTCTCTGAGCCATCACTTACATGGCTCAGTGGATGTAGCGGCCACTTCTAACTGCTTAGCCTGCCTTCATCCCGAACAGCCTGCGAATGGTTCTCTATGGGGCCAACTGAGAGAGCTTCTCAAAAACCTAATACAATGGTGTCGATCTTCAGCTGAAAATTCTCTAATGACTTCTCACTACACTTAAGATAAAGATCAAAATCTTCAACCTGTGTATGAGACCCTTTAGGGCAGTCTCCACCACCCTCACTGGCTTCATCTCATACCATGTCCCTGCCCCTCTTCCCCCCAATACTGGCCTTCCTTCCCTCCTTCATGTTTGCATACTCCCTCCTGTCAAAGAGCTTTTCTATACGTTATTGCACATTGTATATGTTGCTCTGTCCAGACTCTCTTTAATGCTCTTGCTAGCTAATCCCTATTCATCTGCAATCCTACACCATTACCTCAGGAAAGTTTCTCTTATTGTGAAGGACAGACACCTGCATATGCTAACAAAACCACATTTACCACATAAACACAATTTCACAATCACACAAAGGTGCACTAGGCAATTTCTACTTTATGAAAATCTCTCTCCTGCCTCTGTCCTGTCCTGTCCCAAACTCTCCCTCTCCCCACTTCCCTCACTTCTCAGAATCACAAAAGCCAGGGAAACTTTACCTATTTTCGTGTCCTTGTAGCTGAAGTGGCTGAGGAGGAGCTGGCTGGGCGATAGGACTGTTGGGGGTGGCCGGGCTGGGCTGGGCCAGAGGACTCTGTTGGGCCAAGGGGCTGTGCTGCTGGGCCATGGGGCTCTGCTTCTCTGAGCTGGGTGCCGAGGCTGGGCTGTTGAGCTCTGCAGTAGGAAACCAAGGAAGCAAATGCAGTCAGGCTGGCACATGATCAAGGGCAAGAGGTAGCCAGCGGTGGTTACTCTAACTCTACAAGGCTCAAGGCTTAGGCTTAAAGACTGAAGCTTAAACTTAGCAAGTTCCAATACCCCTCCTGGAACTAGTATTCTTTTGTCAATGATAAAGTCGATAGATAAGGTTATGAACAGAATCTCTTGTCATTTTGTCAGAAGAAAAAAATTACGATAAGAAAGACTTGTTAAAACTATGAAAAAACAACTCAGAGGAGTAGGCTCTAAAACATATCCTATTCATTCCAGCATTACTCTCTGAAAGAAAATGTTTCAGCTGCTAATACTTTTTGGTTGTAATGAGAAGTCCTACCAGTATTCCAAAGATTGGATAAAGAATTAACCACAAGAAAAGGAAATGCCTTTTAAAATCCTTTCTCCAGTTCCTTGTTAGTCTTATTGCCTAATAATCCTCTGTTCTCCATGGTTCTCTGGAAAGAAAAAAGAACACTGGACAGAGGAAGGCTCATATATCATTTTTTTTAATTGAAGTATACATAGTCAGTTTACATATCATTTTTTGCTGTGTTGGAATAAGAACAGGACAGACATATTTCAGACTGGGAAAAGGGAGAAGCAAGTCAGAGTTTTTGTAAGCAATTTTACTTAGAGTTAATTTCTACTGAATATTTTATATACAATGTCTGCAGATAACAGGTTAAAAAGGGTCATTTTTCCTCTTTTTTGCTGGGCGATAGAAAGGAGGTGATCTATTAGCATTCCTTTATAAGTCACTGTCTGCTTTCTTCTCTCACAGCCTAGATTTTAAATTTTCTTCTTCACTGGTATCAGGAGGGTATTTCTCAACCTTGGCACTGCTGACACTTGTGGCAGATAATTCCTTGCTGGGTTAGGGTGGGGGCTGTCCTGTGTACTGGAGGATGTTCAGCAGCGTCCTTGTCCTCTACCTGCTCCATACCAGTAACATCCCCAACCCAATCATGACAATCAAAAATGTCTCCAGACATTGCCAAATGTCCCCTGAGGGGACTAAAATCACCTCCACTGAAAACCACTGACTTATCTATTAAAAAGTCAGTGATGGTTCAGTGTCGCTTGTTAGACAGTCCCAAGATGGAATCAGGAGACTGAGTAAAACAGAAGAGACCGAGGTGCGTGAGCCCCTCCCTCTCTGTGTGGGACACTGGTCCACTTAGCAGTGAGTGCCAAGACTGAACTCCCAGGTGTCAGTGATGAGGTAGCAGCTGCAGACTAGTCATGAACCCACTGTGCCTGGAAATGGCGACTTGACGGTGAGTCGGTGCTCAGAACCTCGTGGCCCCTTGAGGCGTGGCTGTGAGGTGTGATGCTCACTGCTCTTCAAGCCTTTTCCTTCAGATTTGTAACCCTATCATCTCTGCTGAGTGGGTTCTAGGGCCCCCAGGGCCATCGGGAATGACCTAATCACCCAGTGCCTTGAGATTCACACTAGTTATCTACAATGTCATAGAGTTTGATCTTTGAATGAAACTGGTACTGAGTAAACAGGATATGGGTTGCAAGAGAGCGTTAATTTTTGCAAAAGTGGAAATAACACTCAACTTCTGACATTCTGACAGCACACCAACTACAGCCAGGTGGGCTCCATGGCCTCGGCTCAGGTACTCACCCTCCTGGGGGATGATGCGAAGGGTGACACTAAGACCTGCGTCCTTGATGAGCTTCACGATGTCTGCGTGAGGCATGTTGATGATTGACTGGCCGTTCACTGCTAGGATTCGGTCTCCCACTTTTAGTTTTGCACAGCGATCTGCGGGACTCCCATCGATGATGCGTCCGATTTTATGGGGCACAGCTAAAAAAAAAATCCCCAACAGAAACAGGTATCAGGGGCTTTACCAATACATGTTCCATCTTTGAGTCCCAGCTGCACAGGAAACAATAAAGTATCAGAATTCTCTCTTTCGTCGTATGTGTGCCTCTTGAGATCACAATTATTCCTACCAAATGTAGCCCTGTGCATATTACTGGGACCAGAATTTCTAAATTCAAGTTCTTCACAGTGACTAGTCAATTCCAAATGTGAACCACGGGTTCTCAAACTTTAGGGTGAATCATAATCACCCTAGGATTAAAAATACAGCTGTTTAGGTCTTACCCTGGACCTTGTGGATCAGAATGTCCAGGCAGGAGGTGGGGATAATGGATTTTAAAGAAGCTCCTCAAGAGATTCCAATACACACAAAATTTTTGAGAACCATAAATGGACAAGACTGTGCCCAGAGAGCTCAGACTCTAGAGACAATAATACAGTTCAGAAAGATACAATAAATGCTGGGAACTTTATTTCTGTCCTTCTCTGTTTTACTGAGGGGAGAAAACAGGAAAGGGAAGAAATTATTTATTTATACGGGAATTAGCCAGCTGGTGAAGAAATTATGACCAACTTATGACCAACTTATGACTAATTTACTAAGCTTTAGCTTAAAGGTTGATGCAGTTTTCAACTATTATGTCTTCCTTCTGATTCAGTGCAAATGATGCTGAGATCTTGCTCATATCTGGTACATAATGTATTTCGTAAAATCTAAGATGTCATCGATGCTAAGACACAACTTTCTCTTACATGCCACAAGAAAAAAAGCAACTCTGGCAACTAAACAGTGACACTCCATTTGATGTAAGATACCCTGTAATTTCTGAAATGTTAAATCATGAAATATATGTATTATAATTAATGAAGTACAGTATATGTGTCTTTCAAACAAGGAAAATTCATTTTCTTTTTCATTGTTTACTTATATGTGGGTGGAGAGGCAGGTGCGTGGGGATACAGATTTTCTAGCAGGTCAACCTATATTCAGTGTCAGTGTTTGAGTTCCTACCAGGTTGACTATTAATGGAGTCAGATATCAAGAGGGCACAGTGTACCTGTAAGTTCCTCAAGGAGCCGACCACCTAGAAACCTGTTGTCTTTTGTTCTGCCCTTCAAGACATGAGCCCCAATAAAAAAGATTATACATCATGACCAAGTGGGGTTCATCCCAGGGACACAAGGGTGATTCAACATACGCAAATCAATCAATGTAATGCATCACATCAACAAGAGAAAGGACAAAAACCACAAGATCATCTCAATCGACACAGAAAAAGCATTTGATAAAATTCAACACCCATTTATGATAAAAACTCTCGCCAAAGTGGGTATAGAGGGAACATATCTCAGCATAATAAAAACTATATATGACAAACCTACAGCCAGCATAGGACTCAACGGTGAAAAACTCAAAAGCTTCCAACTAAAATCTGGGACAAGACAAGGCTGCCCACTATCACCACCCCTATTCAACATAGTCTTGGAAGTCCTAGCCACAGCAATCAGGCAAGAGAGAGAAATGAAAGGCATCCAAATTGGAAAAGAAGAGGTAAAAGTGTCACTATATGCCGACGACATGTTACTATGTATAGAAAACCCTAAAAGGTCCACACAAAAACTACTAGAGCTGATTGAAGAATTCAGCAAGGTAGCAGGATACAAGATTAACATTAAAAAATCAGTTGCATTTCTTTAACGATGAATCAACAGAAAAAGAAAGTAAAGAAACAATCCCCTTTAAAATAGCACCCAAAGTAATAA